GGTCTCGAACCCGCGGGCTCAGGCAATCCACTCACCTCAGCCTCCCAAAGGCGCGGGATTACAGGCTGAGCCACCGAACCCCGCTTATATATCACTTTTTAAAAGTACCAATGTCATCAAAGGCCAAAGAAAATTAATTTTCACAGTCACTGTTTAAAATCCTATAAAGGCATTAAAGCTTATCTGTTACCATAACTCCCAGCCATTGCCAGTATTGTACAAAGCATATTTAAAATCTAATATTATAAAGTCAAATTTAAATATGACAGCAAATGAAACGTCTAAAATTTTATAGAAATCTTAAATATTTCATTTATCAAGTCATTTATTTGAGTTAAGAGAATAAAAGCAGATATCCACCTGCTAAAGATCACCACTAAGCCATCTCCATATTCCTAAAAATAATACAATTAGAACATTTGTTTTTGTATCTTTTAAGCTTTCTAATGAACTCAAATCATGTGAGTTAGAAGAAAATGCTTCAAAGTTAGTGTGCAGCCAAAAGAGAGAAAAGAATTACATTCCAGTAGATGGTAGGAGAATGACCTCATTTTTCCAAGCTGTTACATATAGCATTCCTAAATGTGCTGCCTCATTCAGATTTACTAGAATTATCACACCAATTTGCTACCTGTCTTCAAAGCTGAATACTCTCATTTTTCTTGCTTGTCTACAACCATGAAAAGAACTTGAAAAGCTGATGATGCAGCAATAACTGGAATTAAAGAAACAGATCATCCTCCAGTAGAAGCATGTTCTATTTCTACAAGAAGCTTAGCATATACATGATGGTATCAAGTACTTTAATTATTACATTTTCCAGAAAAGAACTGAATGCTAATATACTTCCACATGAAATACTTATTGTCTGTTAAATGTAACAAACACTAAAATGTAACCAATAACAGATGCCATCTTAAATCCCTGAAGAAAATCTTCTTTTTCTGCTAGTATATTTTAAAAACTTAACAAAAAATTAATATATTCCTATTTTCAATCAGCTTCTGACCATTCCTTGCATTTTTTCAGTGTGATTTACCTTATATTATTACCTCTCATGAGAAAGCATACAAAACCAACATATAGGTGAATACAGCTAAAATTAATAATTAAACAATTCTAACCACTTAAGAAACATTTAGGATTTACTATAACCCTATTGAATGTTTTCTTCCTTTATTTTTAAACTACCACATAATTGCAGGTTAATGGAGAAACACATACTTTCACATACTTCCAATTAGGATGCTTTTATGCAGTTCATTCTAACTCACTTTCCAATTCTATTGCTTAAAATTTATGAAATCAGTATTTTCCATTCATAAGGAATTCTGAACTTCTAAGAATGTGTTTAAAATCAGAGACCCATGTAATTCCGAACACTGTTTTCTTTAAAACTAGATGCCAACAAACACAGGCCAAAAGTAGAGCAAGTCATTGTGAATGTGTGAGTTCCCAAAAGCTTGTTTGCAGGTCACTTAGTGGGAACTTGGAATACAGTCTTCCATTGAAACAATGTTATAAATGGTGCTCCTTTTCCCAAGCCTTCCCACAAAAGCTGGTAAGTAGTTTAAATAGAAAATTAACATGAGATACTTTAAAACAAAAAATGTGCTCATACAGAAGATATAAAATATATCTCCTAATCTCCCCCACTCCCTACATCTCCTTCCTGTATTTGTATGTAAGCTTTCTAAGAGGTTAACTACAGATCAGTATCAAATAACCACAAATAAGGGGAAAACATTAAATTATCTGGTTTCAAGGTCACTTGAAACCTGCATTTCCCACTATTATAAGTCACCAACTGCCTCCAAAACAAATAACTGCCGCTGAACCTGTATTATGAAACCAGCATCTGGACATTATATCAGTTATTAAGTGTTCTGGTTACAACTCGGTATGGCAGAAACACACCTTCACCTCTGCAGGGATAGCAGAGTGTGTTACGTCTATGTGTGTGCATGCACGTATGCGCGCCCGCGCACCCTCCCCACCACAAGCCTACTCTTAGACAAGCACGAGTCTAGGTACTGGGAATGCACTAAAAACCTTGTGAGGCAGACAAGTGTCCGTTGCTGGGATGACAAACGACCAGCTGAAAGCTGCGAATGCCTTTGATGCGGGGGAGGGGGCGCGCCGCAGGGAAGGCCAAGGAAAGGGGGTGGTTGACCCAGTCAGTGTGATCCAAGCAGAGGCTGGAGCTGAGATTCTGGCATCAACACAACCAAGAGGAGTGAAGAGAAAATTCCAGCCAGAGAAGGCGTTCTCCAGGGCCCAGGGAGCCTGGTCAGTCCCAGGAAGGCCAGAGGCGCTGCAGCAAAAAGAGCGAAGGGCGGCATGGAAGGGGCAGATCCTCATGGAGCAGGAGGAGCAGGAGGCTGTCTTCACCCCAGCGTCAATGGGAAAATCCTGAAGTGGATACGCAGGATGGTAACATGTGCATTTGGATTGGATTTGGATTTAGAAAATAGTAATTTGAGGTCGGTATTATCATTACCTCATTTTACAGCTGAAGAAAGTAAACATGGCCTGTACTCACAACAGAATCCGTGACACAGTTGGTCCCCTAACAGGTCTATCGGACGCCAAAGCCTGTTTTCCCTCTTTGTGTTGTCCGCACAACTTCGTGGGGGTTGAGAGGCGGAAGCAACAGCTACAGCAGCATATAGGGCGAAGACGAGAGCACAGACGGGACTCTCACCCCCTCCCATCACTCTGGTGGCCCAAAGCCTAGAACTCAGTGGTGGAGGGAAAGAACGTCTCCTTCCTCTCTCCTCTCAGTCGCCTTCCCCCCCTTCCCTAACCCACTAGCACGTCGCCCTGCCTGTCTTCACTGGAAGCCAGAAAAAGGCTGGGCAGGGAGTGAGGCAGGCTGAGGCCCTGTGGCTGCTCAATCCACGACCACTGCAGCAAAGAGCAGAGGAGTAAAGGGAGAAGCAGAAAAGGAATGGCCTCGGGAAAGCGGCGCCTGGAAGGAGGGACTGTCGAACATCTAGATTCGGCGGCTCGGCCAAGTCAGAACCAAGAGCCTGGACCCCTTCCAGGACAAACCACGTGTACCTGGGGAGTCACTGCGCCCGACCTCGTCTCCTTAGGAGCCCGCGTCTGTCTGTCTGGTGGCTCATCAGGGCAGCCCCACCCCTCACCCCCGAGCTCTTCTAATCACCACACGTGTACATGATCCTAAACTTCAAAAAAACCTACCCAAACACCTGCAGGTATTTTAATATAATATATAATTGCTGATTACACTCAGCTTTGTATCACCTAAACACTTTTAAGGACTATTTTACTGTTAACCAGACAAAGGAATCAAACATGTATCAGTAAAATCAGAATATGATTCTTCACTGTATCATATCTAAATTATTATATGACTAGGTCATTTTTCTCTTTTCACATATCTTTCCTCCAAAGCTACACTGTGTCTCCCAGTGTAGTTATCTCCTAGAATGCCCCAACAAAATTTATTTTTTTCTTTTGATATTTATTTCTTTGATTTTAATTTTGATTTTTTCAAAATCCGCTAACATTCCCTAGAGACATTCTAGTTAAATAACAGGAGAAGTAACCTGAAAATATGCCTGGTCAAAGAGAATATAACCCACAATCAAGAACCGAAATTCAGATCTGGCTCCTAAATTGAGCCAAGATGTAAAAACAGTCAGTCTTCCAAGTGAGATGTTCTTTCCTGAGGCATTTTAATTCCTACCTCACTGCTTTAGCAGTTGTAATTAGATACAGAAGTTTTCTCCCTCAAAGGTTTCTCAGCATGAGCTAACAGGCTGGTCTCATTTTCTATTATTCGTTCCAAATTAATTTTTCATATTCTAAATAGATTTCTACCAACTTTATAGTATAATATTAAGTTGGTACAATAGTAATTTCTAAAGAAACTATGTTGCAATAAACAACTACCATAAACAAGACTAAGCAGCAAGAACCCCTGATAACTTTCTCAGCAGAGATTTCAGAATCCTCTTTTCTCAGCTGGTCACTGCTCTCTGATTCCAAAGGGTTCCTCCCATATAGTAAACACTTGCAATGGACCTTGACATGCCATCTGGCAACATTTGTTCAAGGGGCTTCTGTAAGCTTGTTTAAATATGATTATTTAAATGATATTTTTCAAAATTATTGTTTAAATATAGTCCTATTATTTTGGTAGGAAGATTCCCCCATATGGTCCTGCTAAAATGCCACCACAAACCTTAGAAGTTGAGAGCAAGTGGGCGTGTAAGCATTTCGTGTACTTTTAACAAAATTTAGAACAAAACTTCATAGTAAAAACAGTTACTTAAAAACAGCACCTCTTTGTTGGTGATTGGAATGGAAAGGAAATAGTTGGGTTGACAATCTTTTTGCTTTTTTTTCTTCTTCTTTATTGCATCACTCTTGATCCATTCATTTTCTTCACTTCTCTTCAAATTTATTTGAGGTTCATCTGTCACTAGAGGAAAAAAGTCAAATGAAAATATGTCTAATACATTTAAGCAAAGATAATATATCAGGAAAAAAAGGAAAATAAGTGATATATAAGTAGCAATCATTCATAATTGTAATTTTCAAATCTAAAGCAGAAGGTGCCGAACACTGTTGAGGACCTCAGAGCAAATATGTGAGGCATTGCAAATCATATGGTCTTTGTTGCAACTACTCAATTCTGCTTGCAGACAACACATAAATGAAGGGATACAGCTGTGTTCTAGTGAAACCTTATTTACAAAGGAAGTGGTCTGCCAGATCTAGTCCATGGGCCACAGTGTGCTCATCTCTGATATAAAGCAGGGCTAACAAAGCATACTCTACCAGAGCTGACACCACAATTTTCATATCACCAGGAAAGATCAATTTGTCATTCATTCTGTACATGTATATTTGTGATTTCTGGGATATAACCAGCTGTATCACTGCCATTCAAAGTTTTATTTGTCCTTTGGACACCCACCAAAGCTGTGCTCAGAGGAAAATTTATAGGACTGAACACCTACATTAATAAGACTGACAGATCATATATTGACAACATAACATCACACTTCAAGGAATTAGAAAAATACAAACAAACCAAACCCAAGCCTAGATGAATAAAAGAAATAACAAAGATCAGAACAGAACTAAATGAAATTTAAATTTAAAAAAACAAAGGATCAATGAAACAAAGAGTTGGTTCTTTGAAAAGATAAACAAAATTGATAAACCACTACCTAGATTAATTAAGAAATGAACAGAGAAGATTCAAATTAGCTCAGTCAGAAAAAGGAGACAACTGATGACAGAAATTCAAAAGATCACCCAAGACTATTAGGGACACCTCTAGGCAAACAAACTAGACAATCTAGAGGAAATGGATAAATTCTTGGAAACATACAGCCTGCCAGCCTTGAATCAAGAAGAAAATAGAAACCCTGAACAGACCAATAACAAGTAGCGAGACTGAAACAGTAATTAGAAGTCTCCCAACAAAAAAAAACGTCCAGGACCTGATGAACTCACAGCTGAATTCTACCAGACCTTCAAAAAAGAACTGGTACCAATTTTACCAAAGCTATTCCACAAGATTGAAGAGGAGGGAATCCTCCCTAATTCTCTGAGGCCAGCATCACTCTGATACCAAAGCCAGGAAAACACAACAACAAAAATCGACAGATCAATATCCCTTATGAACACAGATGAAAAAATCCTCAACAAAATATCAGCAAACCAAATTCAACGCACATAAAAAAAAATACACCATGACCAAGTGGGTTTTATCCCAGGAATACAAGGGTAGTTCAACATATGCAAGTCAATTAACGCAATCCACTAAATAAACAGAATTAAAAACGAAAATCATATGATCATTTCAATAGATGCAGAAAAAGCATTTGATAAAGTTCAGCATCCCTTCATGATAAAAACCCTCAGCAAAATAGGCATAGAAGGAATATTCTTCAAAATAATAAAAGTCATATATGAAACACCCACAGCCAATGTCATCCTGAATGAAGAAAAATTTAACACATTCCCCCTCAGAACTGGAACAAGGCAAGGAAGCCCACTTTCACCACTATGATTCAACATAGTACTGGAAGTCCTAGCCAGAGTAATCAGGCAAGAAAAAGAAATAAAGGGTATCCAAATTGGAAAAAATAAAAAATAAACCTATCTCTGTATGCTGATAATATGATCTTATACATAGACAACCCTGAAGACTCCTCCAAAAGACTCCTGGACTTGCTAAATGAATTTGGTTAAGTTTCAGGACACAAAATCAATACACACAGATCAGTAGCACTGCTATACACAAATAGCAACCACGCTGAGAATCAAATCAAGAACTCAATTCCACTTGTAATAACAGCCAAACAGCTAAAATGCCTAGGAATATATTTAACCAAGGAGGTGAAAGATCTCTACAAGGAGAGCTACAAAACTCTGAAGAAAGAAACAGCAGAGGACACAAACTGATATTCCATGACATGAATTGGAACAATCAACATTATTAAAATGATTGTATTACCCAAAGTAATCTACAGATTTAATGCAATCCTTATCAAACTACCAACATCATTTTTTTACAGAATTAGAGAAAACAATCCTAAAATTCATATGAAACCAGAAAGGAGTCAAAATAGCCAAAACAATCCTAAGCAAGATGAACAAAGCTGGAGGCATCACATAACCTGACTTAAAATTATTCTATAAGCTGTAGTTACCAAAATAGCACAGTCCTGGTATAAGAGCAGACACACAGACAAATGGAACAGAATAGAGAATCCAGAAATAAACCCAAATACCTACAACCAGTTGATCTTTGACAAAGCAGACAAAAACAAACACTGGAGAAAGGATACCCTAGTCAACAAATGGTGCTAGGAGAATCGGATAGCTACATGCAGAAAAGTGAAACTTGATCCCTATATCTTCTCATGTACAAAAATTAACCTGAGATGGATTAAAGACTTATAAATGTCAGACCTGAAACCATAAAAATCCTAGAAGAAAACCTAGAAATAACTCTTATGGACATTAGCCTCGGCAAAGAATTTATGGTTACAACTCCAAAAACAAATGCAACTAAAACAAAAATAAATATGTGGGACTTACTTAAACTATAAAGTTTCTGCACAGCAAAAGAAATAAGCAACAGAGCAAACAGGCAATCTACAGAATGGGAGAAAATATTCACAAATTATATACCTGACAAAGAACTAATATCTAGAATCTACAAAGAACTCAACCAAATATGAAAAAAGCAAATTACACCATTAAAAAGTGGGTAAATAGCCGGGCTCGGTGGCTCAGCCTGCAATCCCAGCACTTTGGGAGGCTGAGGTGAGTGGACTGCCTGAGCCCACGGGTTCAAGACCCGCCTGGGCAACTTGGCGAGACCTCATGTCTACAATAAATCAAAAAAATTAGTTGGGCGTGGTAGTGCGTGCCTGTAGTTCCAGCTACTTGGAAGGCTGAGGCAGAAGGATCACCGGAGCCCAGCAGGTAGAGGCTGCGGTGGCCGGGAGCGGCCGCTGCCCTCCAGTCTGGGCGACAGAGTGAGACTCCAACTCAAAAAAAAAAAAAAGTGGGTAAACAGCATGAACAAAGATCTCTCAAAAGAAGATATACAAATGTCCAGCAAACATGAAAGAATGCTCAACATCCCTCATCATCAGGGAAATGCAAAATAAAATCACAATGAGATACCACCTTATGTCAGTCAGAATACTCATCATTCAAAAATCAAAAAACAATAGATGCTGGTGTGGATGAAAAAGGGAATGCTTATACACTGTTGGTGAGAGTGTAAATCAGTACAACCTCTATGGAAAGCAGTACGGAGATTACTGAAAGAACTAAAAGTGGATCTACAATTTGATCCAGCAATCCCACTACTAGGTATCTACCCTAAGGAACAGAGGTTGCTATGCAAAAAATACACCTGCCCCCACATGTTCATCACAACATAATTCACAACTGCAAAGACGTGGAATCAGCCTAAGTGCCCACACTGATCAGCGGAAAATGAAAATGTGGTATGTATACACCACGGAGTACTACACAGCCATAACAAAGAATGGAATGATGTTCTCTGCAGCAACGTGGATGGACCCGGAGATCATCATCCTAAGGGAATTGACTCAGAAACAGAAAACCTAACACCAAGTGTTCTCACTTGGTATGTGGGAGTCAAAAAGTCACAAAGATGGAAATAACAGAGACTGGGGGCACTAATAAGAGGGAAGGGGGAGGGAGGTTAGGGTTCTGGTACCTACGAGGCACAATGTTCACTATCTGGGGAATGGGCTACCTGAAACCAATCTCCACCACTACATAACTATGTCCATGTCCATAATGAAACCCCTCTATAAAAAATAAAAATTTTAAAAAGTACTTTTTAATGAGCTGGCTGTGGTGGTATGTGCCTACAGTCATAGTTACTCAGGACACTGAGGTGGGAGGATCATGTGAGCCCAGAAATTCGATGCTGTGGTGAGTCATGACTGCATCACTGCACTGTAGCCTCGGGGACAGAGTGAGGCTCTCAAAAATAAAAACATTTTTTGGCCAGGCTCAGTGGCTCAGCCTGTAATCCCACCACCTTGGGAGGCCAGGGCGAGTGGACTGCCTATGGACACAGGCTCAAGACCAGCCCGGGAAACTTGGCGAGACCTTGTCTCTATAATAAATCAAAAATTAGTTGGGCGTGGTAGCGAGTGCCCGTAATGCCGGCTACTTGGAAGACTGAGGCGGAAGGATCGCCAGAGCCCAGCAAGTCAACGCTGGGATGGCCGTGAGTGTGCCACTGCCCTCCAGCCTGGGAGACAGGGTGAGACTCCAACTCAAAAAGAAATTTTTTTTAGCTTTTTATAATCTTATTAATAACTACTTAACTTTCTTTTGAACTAGATAATCTAAAATCTTCTTTAGTTAGGTATCATGGACAGTGTGAAGTTTACAATTATCTGAAGAGAGCTGGGTAAAAAAGAAAATGAATCCTGTAAGTATTTCTTGTTCTAGTGCAATTTTATTTACCCTTGTAATATGTTTTCTTTTAATTCAGTCAGTCCTGCTAATTTAAGGTCATTGTGCTACAGACTGAGCACAACATCTCTTCTCTCTTATTTGCATGTCATCACTGTCTTTTATTTGTAAAGTTTATTTGTGTGGCCACAGTATAAAATTTCTCTGCTTTTCTTTACTGAACTCTGTTTTATCTCTAATTTTGTAGATTCTAAAATACAATTGGCTATTATCTTTTTATACAGTTTATGAACCTATAAAGAGCAAAATCATCACGTAATCATATAATGTACTGATACAAATTTTAAAGATCAGTGACCATAAAACAAGACAGAAAATTCTGGCCATGCGTCCTGGATCTCTCATTGAATTATTATTACTTTTTTTTTTGAGTTGGAGTCTCACTCTGTCGCCCAGACTGGAGTGCAGCGGCCACTCCCGGCCACCGCAGCC